CATGTCATTGTCAATTATCTCATATGCTGGACAATGAATAAGGAAGACCAAAGAAAAACTGATGCCTTTGAATCATGATGTTGGTGAAGAATACGGGATATACCATGGACTCCCAGAAGAATGAACAAATCTGTCTTGGAAGAAGTACAGCCAGAATGCTCCTTAGAAGCGTCTCACATTTTAGACATGGTGTCAGGAGGTACCAGTTCTTGGAGAAGGACATCATGCTTGGTAAGGTAAAGGCTTAGTGAAAAATAGGAAGACCCTCGACAAAATGGACTGACACAGTGCTGCAACAATAGGCTGAAACACAGCAATGATTTTGAGGACAGCACAGAACTGGGCAGTGTGCCATTCTGTTGTAAATAGGGTCGCTATGAGTTGGAACCAACTCAACGACACCTAACAACAAGGTTATTACTGAGGAGTCCTGGTGGCACAGTGGTTAAAGTCCTTGGCTGCTAACCAAAAGGTCGGCAGTTCAAACCCACCAGCTGCTCCATGGGAGAAAGATGTGGCATTCTGCTTCCATAAAGATTTACAGCCTTGGAAATCTTATGGGGCAGTTCTACTCTGTCCTAAAGAATACACTTCATTTTAACACTTCTACCTTCAACTTGAAGGAGCCTTGGTGGTGCAATGGTTAAGCACTCAGCTGCTGTCATGGATTAAATTGTGTCCCCCAAAAATGTCTGTCAACTTGGCTGGGTCATGATTCCCAGTATTATATGATTGTGTACCATTTTGTAATCTAATGTGATTTCCTTATGTGTTGTAAACTCTATCACTATCATGAAATTATACTGATGAGGTCTACAAGACTGGATAGTTTCTTAAGCCAATCTCTTTTGAGATACAAAACAGAGAAGCGAGCAGAGACACATGGGAACCTCATACCACCAAGCAAGCAGTGCTGGGAGCAGAGCACGTCCTTTGGACCAGAGGTTCCTGCGCAGAGAAGCTCCCAGACCAAGGGAAGATTGATGACATGGACCTTCCTCCAGAGTCAACAGAGAAAGCATTCCCTTGCAGCTGCCACCCTGAGTTTGGACTTGTAGCCTGCTGGACTGTGAGAAAACAAATTTCTCTTTGTTAAAGCCATCCACTTGTGGTATTTCTGTTAGAGCAGTACTCGATGACTAAGACAGCTGCTAACCGAAAAGTTGGTGGTTCAAACCTACCCAGAAGCTCTGGAGGTGAAAACACCTGGTTATTTGCTCCTGTAAAGATTACAGCCTTGGAAACCCCGTGGGGCGCTTCTACTTTGTCACATGGGGTCACTATGAGTCAGAAGCAACTCGATAGCCCCAAACAAAAACAACCTTCAACTTAATGGCTTCTTAGCTCTCTGCATTAGGAAATTTTAGGTTGTCAAAAATGCATTAAAAATATCAGCAATTAGCTTTGGGAGCTACTATATAACTACAAGCACAATTTACTGTTTTGCCAGGGGCAACAGATCTCATCTGATGTATTCATACTCTCCAAGTAAAGCAGTAGCCAACTGTTAAATAAATAACTCATTAGGTGAAATGCAAGTCTTCCTCAAGATTAACTCAAAAATCTGCTGGAGACTACTAACATTAGCTGGCCAATTAACATGGGGAGCTACAGATAATCTGGAATCAAAGACAGTCTATTTAATACAAACTGATATAAGAATCCAAATGTCCACAGGTTAAACTTCAAGACAAATTCAAGAAGCAAACCAAAAAACAAACACACAAAAAATTGCATTACAAGGTCCTAATAACCCAGAGCACTAGACCAGTAAAGGGATAAATTAGAATATTTTCATTTATATTTAACTTTCATTTTGCCTAAAAGGCAAGAAATTGGGGAGTTCTAGTAAACTGAATATTGTGGCTAAGAGAAAGTTACCAGGCAGAATATGTATGAATCATCAGCGTCTAGGGGCTCAGAATACAATCAAATACACTTATCAATAAAATGAAACAGAATCTAATTTAGTCTTTCCTTGGATGATTCAGAAACCACTTTAGGATCACACAGCCTCCTTAGGAACATTAACTTCTATCGCTATTTTCACAAACATAAATCCATGGTATTAGCTTGTCATTTGTCTTTCTCCAATCTGAGAGAAGAGCATCTTTGCCCTTTTAACTTTCTGGCTGGCAGTGCCTCTTTGGAGGGATTTAACTGTACTTTGATGATGTGTTTCAGAGAAGACAGACACAATAGTCCTAACTTTGTTTACTGTAAGATTTTGATTCCTGTGAGAAATTGCTGCAGAGAGACCAGAGCCTGGAATTCACCTCTGGGAAGTGGAAATGGAGGTGGTATTTCTACACTGTGTTCTCCAAACTCCAGCATTATGTCCCTTCCATCCCTCTGCATCTGCTCAAACCCACCCTTTGTCTCCCTCACTTCTAGGTGTGCTTTCCAGTTGCCATTGCATCATTTCTGACTCAGGGTGACCCTGTGGGTGTCAACGTAGAACTGTGCTCCATACGGTTTTCAACGGCTGGTTTTTTGGAAGTACACTGCCTACTTTCTTCCAGGGTGCCTCTGGGTGGACTCAAACTGCCAACCTTTCAGTTAGCAGCCAAGCGTGTTAACCATTTGCGCCACCCACGAACAAGTTGTGCTAGGAAGAGCTAAAACAGTCAGGAGTGGAGAAACACATAAAAAGACCAAAAGAGACACTTTATGATAGCTTCCATCAGGAAACACACACATGACAGACAAATATCAAAATGGATGCAAACAGGTACAACCCTTCATATATCACTTGGAAAAATTCTCACAAAAGCGGCTGATCTTAGCCAACATGACAGCATGATTAATTTTGTTGTAGTCCAGAAGTAGGTCATAGATCAGTGCTGAAGGGTATCCTTCATGTCCCAAATCCCCAGTTCCTACTTCTCCCAAAGTGCATAATGCCCACTCTGCTTCCATCTGACCCCTAGTTACTGGGGTGGGATGGGAGACACACTCAACTGTCACAAGACAATATGGCCAACTCTGCCACTAACAAGCTGAGTGACCTGGGTGGGACATTTATCCTCTTTGGGCCTTAGCTTTTTTCTCAATGAAGGAAGAGGATAGAGGAAGAACTGAGAGAAACCTTATTACATACTGTCATGGAGGAGGCACCAAGCTTTAGTTGAAGGTTATCAAGCTTCAAACTTCCAAGTCAGGACTAAACTGTCAATCTTGAAACCCTAGGACCTGACTGTAGAGGAGGAAAAGATGCAAAGGCTTATACGACACAAAGAGGTCTGGTATGAGAATCAAGAACCCTGGATTCTGTCTTGGCTCCTTATTCTAACTGACTGTGTCACTTTGAGTAAGTCACTCCTTTTTTGGCTTCAATTTTCTTATCTGTTGGTATAGATGAGACTGTTGGTTTAGATGAAGGATTCTTACCCAAGAGTCCATGGACACGTTGGGGGTCCATGGATGGGTGTCAGGGTGTTCACAAACCCTTCAATCTTGTTTTCCACATTTTGTGTGCATGGGCATGCTTCTAGAAAGGAGGTCTAGTGCTTTAATCACATTTGCAGAAGATTTGTCTTTCAAAAACAATAAGTAACTGTTTGATAAATGAAATCTATGATCCCTTCCAGCTCTAACATTCAATAATTCAAATAACAATACTGGAAAATGTAAAAATGACAACTGTTTGGGACAAAGTAAAGAGAAACTACTCAGCTAAAACCAGTAACAGGTGCCTAAAGAGCCTTCCTGATTATCAGGGAGGGCTCCGGCATTTGGCTTGTGAACAGTCTCAGGGTCAGAGAACCCCTGAAGCCACTTGGATCTTCTGGTCATCAGTCACCACTGCTGACCCTGGAGCCACTAATTCCACTTCCTCCCTTTGCTGGGGTAGTTAGAAGAACTGGAGGTACAGTGAGATGGCAGCGGTCTGTGACATGATTACTCTAAGCTGCTCCCCTAAGGAGGGCTACTCTTTTATGCTTTGAGCAGCATAAACAATCATCCTTCTAAGCCATAGCTTGGATTCCACCAAGTTGGAATCAAAGATCAAGGACATCTGCACAATGGGTTGAAGCTTACCCCTTGAGCTTACCTCTCTGCAGGGTTTGCAAAACCAAAGGAGAATGCTGATCAGACTGCAAGAGGAGAGTTTGGGTGTGCCATTTTCAGACTTCTCGAAACATTAACAAGGGCCTTTTAACCCTGTAGTGTGCTTATCTGAACCAGGCCTGCCTAAGTTTCTAAACAGCAATGCCTTCCTAACTGGGGAAAGACTACATCTTCCCAAAGCCAATACATTGTACAGTATTTGTTTCTAAAACAGTCCATTGCTCCATGGAATTCAGGCCCCCACCGTCCATTGGTCTCCAAAGTCTGACCTTCCATGATTTCACCCATGTCCTGACTGTTAAGTCAAGAGAAAAGACAGAGTAGCTGAGGGACCAGAGGGGCCAGTGGGGCCAAGGTCTGCCCTCCTGTTCCTCGGAAGTATCTGGGGATTGAGCTGAAAGTCCAGAAGCTGCCTATCCTTCCCTTGGCAGAAACAGATTCCATGTGAATAAGGGGTTCTCCGAACATAGACTAGCAAGAGGAAGGCAGTAGAGAGTCTCAACTCTGGAGTCAAGCAGAACCATGCTCAAATCCCAGATCTGTCACTTACTTCAAGCTGGAAAGTTAATTTCTCTGAGCTTCAGTTTATTCATCTGGCAAATGGGGACAATACCATTTCCTACCCATAGATTCCTTGTGAGGATAAATGAGAGAAGGTGTATAAAGCATTTAGCACAGTCACCGGCACAGAGGAAGCCCCTATACAGTTATAAAGTTTTACTGCTGCTGCTGCTTTCATTATTATTACTATTACTATAAAGCCTGTTATTAAAATTACAGACAGTGTTTGTGAAGTCCCTGGCATAGAAAACAGGCACTCTATATGTGATTCCATGGCTATTTTTTTTTTTTTTTTTCTTAACCCCTGGCCCTGAGCAGCCCTGCCTCCCCCAGAGGGAGTGCTCAGGACTCACTGACCCTCGTCTTACCTTCCTTTTGTTGGTGGGATTGACGTAGAGGTAACTAAGGACTGTCTTCAAACCCACTTTGTCATTCAGCTTTTCATAGGTGGTGCCATAATCTGTTGACCTGCAAGCAAGACAGGGAAAAAGAAAGGGAGAGATTGTTTTACCAAACGGGGGATTGTGTTTAAAGGGGAGCCAGGATCTCCCCCCACCTGCACCTTTGTTCCCAAATTACATGAGTGTTTAAAGGTGTTCTTCAGAGATAAAAAAACCCCATTAATTTTGGAAGAGCAATTGGAATAATGCATCTGCTTACTACCTGAGCTCAAGCCCCTTTGCTCCCGGCCCTTCTCAGAGACCTACTTTCCTGCCCTTTGTGAAGCTGAGTCGTGAAAGGAATTGCTGGAGACGGCCTGCCTCCCACACGGCTCATGCCCTCTGGTTCTCCGCATGGCTCTGTGGAGGGGCATGAGTTCCCTTCAGCGGTCCCTCTGTACTGGAGCCGTGTGCAGAGACCATAGGGCAGAGGCCAGACAGTTGCCCAAGGTCAGTGGGGTGCAACCAACTTCACACCCTCTCCACTGAGCCTGAAGCAAGGGACCCTCAGATGGACAGGAAGTGCTGCTACTACCCAAGATTCTGTGGGGTCCAATGGCCAAATGAGGTCACACCAAGCAGAAGGACTGATGTTTTACATGAGGACAACTGTGTGTCTAGGGTGAAAGATCAATGACACTGATCTGCTTTCAACAGTCCATCGTTCCACTTATCCCAGTGGTTACCTGCTCCTCCTTTGGGCCTAATTTCCATAGGGCTGACCTATACCCGGAATCCCTGGATGGTGCAAACAGTTAACACACTTGGGTGCTAACCAAAAGGTTGGAGGTTCGAGTTCATCCAGAGACACCTCAAAAGAAGGCCTGGTGATCTACCTCTGAAAAATCAGCCATTGAAAACCTTATGGACCACAGACTACTCTGACCCACCATGAGTCAGAATCAACTCCACAGCAACTGTTTGTTTGTTTTACCTTATACCCAAACCATAAGGGCTCAGAGAACAAAGGCAGGCCAACCACTGGTTCATTTCTCTCCATCTCAGCATCCCCTCACCCTCCAATGGTGGAGGAGAGAGAGGGTGCCAAACAGTGTGATTCAAGTAGCCAACCTCCCTGCCACACTGTTCACCTAATGCCCCCACGCTACCCTCAATACACCTCCTCCCTTTTTGGACCACCAGTAACATCAAGTTTTTGGCCCCTCTTCCTGTCATGAACCTCCTTAGCTGGTCTCCAGAGACTTCTACTCAGCCTTAAAAGGAAACAGAGGTCAACTTACTTCCTCTGTGGTCAGCCGGCCTCACCTTCCCTGCATTCAGCCTCAAATCTCAGTTCAGTTCCCAACTCTGGCTCTGTATCTCTCCTTGTCTTTGGCATCATGATGCCCTAGTAACCACCTGTCCCTGCCTTTTCTTTGAGCCTCTACCTAAGTTCTAACTCTAATCTGCTCCTGCCCTGGCCCACAGCTTAACTTTGCAAACCTAGAAGTAAAACTTTTTTAAGAGTTATCCCCACTACCCATTTTAAACTAGAAAATACCTCTTCCCCAAGCCCAGCTTAAATTCCTCCCTCCTCTCCTCTGATCAGCCTTCACCAGCCCTCCTCCCTCCTACCACTCACTTCTCCTCTGCAGGAGAGCAAATGCCTCCTTCATTATGCACCCAAGGCACACCATCCACGCTTCTTTTCTAACTCTTTTGATATTGTCATGATTAATTTCTTGATGTTCTATCTCCCCAGCCACAATGTAAGCTCCTTAAGGACAAGGAACTTTAGAGGCCACTATAGTGAGAGGAAAAAACATGAAATTTGGGCGAGAAAGATCTCCGTTTGATTCCTAGATCTGTAGCTCCCAGCTACATGACTATGTGCAAGTCACTTAACCTCTTTCTTAACTGAAAATGGGGATCATTTAATCTCCCAAAGCATTTGTGAGGATGCAAAAATTTAACACATGCCAAACCTTCTAAAAGGATGTCAGGTACACTGAAATGCAGAGACTAAATAAATAAAACTAAACTAAAAGGTGTCCACTTCTTTCTCCCCCAGTGCAAAGCAGGGCCTTGCACATAACCACATGTAGCATGTTTACTGACTAAACAAACATTTCAAATCCTTCCTTGGGCTACATGTTCCACATGGTCATCAGTTATGGCAACTTTAATAATCAGTCCCCACAAAACTGACTTCTTATATTGTCTGCAGTCTACCTTAGGCAGAAAAGGCAGAAGCTCTGAAAATCACTCCCAATCCTTCTCTTTGCCCTCATCTCTTGAACCATTCCCATCTCCAAGACTTAATGATTCCATCTCTTAAATAATTTAGATCCCTGGTCTCCCATCTCCGCTCCAATGCCTTGGCTCAGGCTTCAGCGGTTTTACACCAGTCCCAAATGGACGTGCTTCTTCCAGTCTTCTCCCCCATCCTCCATGCTTCTTCTAACCATCCTCCATGCTGCGTTCAGGTTAGATTTCTACCACCCAGGTCTGTCCATGTCATTCCCTGGTTGTCATTACCCACTGCCTGCACACAGGAGAGTTTTATCTCCTGTCTTAGGCTGGGTTCTCTAGAGAAGCAAAACCAGTAAAGTGTATAAATATATAGACAGAGATTTATATCAAGGAAATGGATCATCTGGTTGTAGAGGCTGGAACGTCCCAAGTCCATGGATCAGGATAGAGGCTTCTCCTGATTCACGTAGCCACAGGGGCTAGTGAACCAAAGATCAGCAGGTCAGAGAGCAGGGCTCCTGCTCACAGGCTGTGAAGATCGGTGAATCCCAAGATAGGCAGGCAAGACCGCAAGGCTTTTCCTGATTCATGTAGCTACAGGGGCTGGCAAACCCAAGATTGGCAGGTTGGAGATCAGGGCTCTTGCTCACAGGCTGTGAAGATCGATGAATCCCAAGATTGGCAGGCAAGACTGCAGATAAGCTGCTAGCTCAATTCCCAAGAACTAGAGGTCAGATGAACAGGAGCCAGCTGCAGGATCCAAAACCAGCAAAAGCCAGAACATCCACTTATATTCGGATGCAGGCCACATGCCCGAGGAAATTCCCCTTCAACTGACTGGATACTTGCAGCAGATCCCATCGTGGGGGTGATGATCACATATCAACTCTCATCAGGGAAGTGATCACGACATTATACGACTGCCAAAACACTGAGAATTGTGGCCCAGTCAAGTTGACACACAATCTTAAATGTCATATCTCCCAAACTTAGTGTTGTAAAATCTGGCTTCAACTCCCTTACTGGACCTGTTTTGAGCCACTTCCTTCCCTGCCCCTTTCTCTCCAACCACACTAAACTTGCCTGACCATGTCCAGCCTTTTCACTGCCCTACACATCTGCACAAATCCTTCCCTCTGCCTGAACTCTCCAGCCCATTTCCTCTACTTGGTAAGCTTCTCTTCAGCTCCAGTATCACTCTCCTTCCAACTTTCCCCGGAGGAAATGAATCATAACTTCCTTTGTGTTCTCATAGCACCTTACACGTATTTCTATTTTAGCATTTATCCCATTGTTTTAGTCACACTATTTACCCTGGGACTGCTTCCTTGACTGTAACTTTCTAAGGGCAAGAACCATTTCTTATAACAGCCCCAAGGTCTTGCACAAAGCAAGTGCTGAATATATTGATTTTTTTATTGTTTAGCTTTGCCTTTATCTGTGAAAATGAATGAATGAATAAACTTGCTCAGACCTACTCACAAGTTCTTGACCAATTGCTAACCTCTAGTGGCAACACAACACAGATATACCTAGAAAATATACTTGACCCTTTGGATGCTGGCACAATTGGCACAGATTGGTAAGGTCTAGCAATGTCTGGTGCCAGGGAAGGATCTACAGTTCACTCGTCCAAGCATTAAGGTTTAAATGCCCAATCACCCTGAGCTCCTGTCTTACCCAGGGAAGGTAGGAGATGGCCCATGATCTCTAGAGGCTGTCAGCTGCATGCTTTTACTAATCCTAATAAAGCACTTTATAGAATAAATTACATCTTGATTCTACACTCTTGAAGGCATAAAGGCAGCACAGTATGGGGAAAGAACACTGAACTTGGAAGTCTGGAAATCTAGACCCTAGAACTGATTCTGAAATATCCTCAGTGTGTTACCCTTGGCAAGTCACTACTCTAAGCCCCTTCCATCATTAACACAAGGGGTTTAATTCAGATACTCATAAGGCCCCTTCTGGACCTTAAATCTTATTATCTCACCAACACACTGTTAAGCTTTTTTCCAACTAGCAACTTTTCCTCACACTATATATAGCAAGCATCTTACTCATAAGAGGTAAATTCTCAGGGCTCCTGGCATGACTGATGTCACAACAAAGTTCCTTCTAGAATCTAAACAGCCCTCATCAAAGGGAGTGTGCTCAGCATCACACGTAGTCGCTCTTTCTGCAAGCTCCACGACAGATTCACACTGACTTTGCCATTTTGCAAAAGTGGCTGCTGAGAGTAGGGACTTCCCAACAAAGGAGACTGTCCACATTTCAGCTTCCTCCATGCCTCTGGCAGTTCCTGCTCACTCAGGCTGGCAGAAACAAGCCACACTCACTGAAGACACCTCAGGGAGCCACTGAGTCTGCAGAACCAAAGGTGCCCTTGACTCTGTCCTCTCCAGCATGGACGCTGCACACAGGGTTGACCACAGCATTCAGGGGCCCACTTTTGCCTGAGGAGAGAGGCAGATGGCAGAGTTCTCACCCCCATTGCCAGAGACAGCTGTCCCTGAAGAACTCACTTTTACAGGAAAGCAAGCCATGTCTCTACCTTATGACTCCAGACATCTGCCTGCGAGGTCACTTGAAGAAGCCAGTCTCATCTCACCAGTTTTAAAGCTAGCCTCCCAAATCTTGACACAAGGCTCATAAAACTGAAATGCTCAGAAAGCTGGAGCCATCACACACACACACACATACACTGTGGGCCTGGCATTGTGCCTGGGCCCCACTGAACTGCCCCCTGGTGCTCTGTGGCATTCTGAATTGCTCAGTCCACAGAGCTAACCTGTAGGGCAACAAGAGAGCCATGCACCGTCCAGGGCATCCAGC